GAAAATCTCGGTGCCGGCGTGAAGGCCCAGAGATCCCTTGGAGCCACGGGAGAGCAGGCACAGAGTCCCTGCTGGGGGGCCAATTCTGCTGCCTGAAAACAGCTCTTCTAAGAAACCTCTAAGACTCAGTTGGTGAGTTTCAGAAGCCAGGCATTCCTACACACTGTAAGACATTTTAAAAGCTCACTGAGTGAAAAAACAAAGCTTTTATCAGGGACATCTGACCTCCAACAGACAGCTCCTTTCCCCTTTTAGTACAATATTATTTTCATGGTATCACTTAATAGAAGTGCCCAGGAAGCCCAGACTGTGCTTTCCAGAACAGAAAATCAACAGAGAGAAGGTGCTTTGCACAAGTGTAACACACTGCAGAACAGACCTGACTTTAGTTTTACTCTTTGTATTCAAATATAGCAGAAGACAAAAACTCCAGCAGGAGAGCTGCCACATTACCCATGGTACCGTCAAAATCCACCTTATGAAAGCTGGAGGAAAATCACAGTTGTGCCTGCAGATGCCTGGGGATCCTCTCCATTCACCTCGTGCTCTCCCAACAGCAGAAAGGGTGACCTCAGGGACACAGTGGCACTCGACATCCTGCTGAGGGAGCAAGGAAACCTTTAGCATAAAGGTGAGTTGGAATCTTATAAACTTCCTTTCCTGGGAGCTTTGTGAAGTCTGCAACCAAGAGGGGGAAAATTTGCATCTCCTTTGGTGCAGGTGTCAACAGAGACCAATAGAGCTTTCACCTTTTTCAAACAACTGTGCCCTTTTTGGCTCCCTGGCAGCTCCAATGGCACCAGAACCCCCTTCCTGCACACCCACGGGTGTCACACGCAGGCACCCACACACCTTTGCTCCAGCCCACACGTGGCCAACATTTCCTCACCCTGGACATCCCAAGGGGACTATTTTTGCTAGAGAGCACAGCAACCACCTGTCCTTGCAAACTGCCTCCCTGCAAAAAAGCAATCATTTCTCCTGGACACTTTTCCCCACAGTCAAGGTCTTTTCAAACTGCTGTCGAGGCACCAAACCTGCTCAGGGTCCCTCCCAGCTTCTACCTGTCCTTGCATTTAAAGGCAGGGGCATATTCTATCTGCCAACAGCAAAACCCAGCTCCTCATTGGGAGTACAAGCCCTGCTCTTACCTGGACAGACTCCCGGGCTCGGCACAGCTGTGGGTCATGGAGCAGCTTCCCAAGGCCGTTCTCTCTCCCAGCAGGAAGCACAACTCGCCTCCACTCCCCAGCACCAGGGGAAACCACGAGCCAGGCTGCAAACTGACACAGAACGAGCAAAAAGCATTAATGCAGCACCAAAAACCGAGTTAAAGCTGTCTTTGCCTCATAACCCTGCACGGGGAAAGGTTTTGGGATTCCGAAGCAATCCCTGAGACACCCAGAGAGCACCAGCCCCGCAGCCCTGCCACGGCTCCCCCCGGGGTCACCCGGCAGATAACGGGCTTACCCGGCCCCCGCCGCCCAGCACAACGCGCCCCGAAACGCCCCCCAGCTCCCCCGGTCCATAAACCCAGCGGCCAAGGCGCTCTCCCCTCCGCAGCCCGGGCAGCAGCGGGGCCGCACCCTCAGCCCTCACACACAACCGCCCGCACCTGCCCCGCCGGCCCTTCTATACCGCGGGCCGGCAGCGCTGCCCAATCAGCACTCGAGCGCCTCCGCCCAATCGCAGCCCGCCTGTCCCTGCGGCCCCGCCCCGCCCGCTCAGCCCGGCCCCGCCCCTCGGCGCGGCCCCGCCCCCCGTTCCCTCAGCGCGGCGGGCGCTGCTGGGGCCGGGGAAGGGCGGTGGGAGCTCCGCGGGTACGGCCCGGCCGGGAGCTCTCCCGGGACAAGGGGAGCGAGGCGGGGAGCGGGCGGGAGCGGGGCCTGCAGGGACAGCGGCGTTCTTGGGGGCGGGCCGGGCGGGCCGAGGGGCGGGGCCGGCGCGAGCTCTGTCAGAGCAAACCTGGTCATTCCAGTGGATCTCTCTTCGAAACTGTGGGATCATCAGCGTTTTCCAGGAAACAATAGCGTCACATTTTGAAACATCCCACGGATGGGGATACCACAACCTCCCCAGGCAACCCGTTCCATGAGCGACTGTCCTGACAAAATACCTCCCCCTCCTACGCGGTTGGAAGCAACAGCTGAGCTGGCAGGAGCAGAACCTCCCTGCTGGGCCATTCCCCAGCAGCCCAAATGCCCTGCACGGGGCTTGGTGCGGAGGCCTGGGCAGCTCGTTCCTCCAGCTGGGCATTTTAGGAGCTGCCCTCGTCCCGTCACTGCCAAGTCCCTCTGGCAGTGGTGCAGCTCCTCAGCTGGAGTGCCTCTGAGGGATCTCCGGCCACGTTTCCCAGCAGCTGAAGGAAGGGAGAGTCACCCCCCAAGCTGTGCTGCCTTTCTCTCGCTTCCTTTTCCCCACCTTTACACTGCAGTGACAAGAGCTGCACTTTCCCAGGGAACGGGGCAGTGACAGGGGAGAGCAGCAGGCAGGAACCCCCTTCTTTTCTGCAGGCCAATGGCTAACTGTGTGTGAAGGGACAGCGACTGTGGTACCAACTCCACCTCCCGCTTCTTGTCACAGATCGATCTGAGGCACTTGTCAGGTCAATACCTGCTCTTTTCGGGAGCGCCAGACTTGTGTTCAGTGTCCTCATTGTAGCCCACGAATCCCTCTAGGTGTTAAATCAGCCTCCCTGTCCTGATTCTTCTAATGAAGAATTAGCATTAGTGTCAAACCGTGTTAATGAGATATACAAATCATCCTGAGAGTGTCTATATTACAAGCTCAGTTTGGCAGTGTTGCTATCCTGAAAAGTGTGGAACAGTGACTGTCAGTTCTCCTTATGCTGCTCTTAAACGCCATCCCTACATTCCCAGGAGAACTCTGGAGGGAGAGACAGAACGTTTAAAACATGAAACCTTGGCATCGCAATTGTTATTTCTAAGTATGTGTTTCTATCTGATACAGTTGTTGGGGTGATTACTCCGGAGAGTGTTTTGTACCGCAGGCAGTGAGTCTGGCCTCACCCAGGCGGCACCGAGGGAGCCCGGCCCGGTACCGCCTCCCGTACCGCGAACTAAGGGACAAAGTGGCCGCCTGAGGGCGCCTTTAGGGGCTCGAACCCCTGAGGTCCCGCCCCGCAGGGGTCGTGGCTGGGTTCGTTCCTGGGCGGTTCGTTCCCGGGGGTCCGTACGCGGGGGTTCGTTCCCGCGGTTTCGTGCTCGGGGCTCGTTCCCGGGTCCTGCCCGTGCCCGCTGCGGGTTCCGGCCGGTGCCGCCTCTCGCCCATCGGGCGGGGTGCAGGTCCTGCGGCCGGAGGACCGAGGCGGGATTGGGGCTGGGATCGGGACCGCCGCGGGCGGGAGGAGCCGCTCCGGGGCGTGCGCTGGTGCCGAGTCCGGCGCTCCCGCTCCCGCTCCGGCTGCGGCCATAGCGACGCTGGGATCCCACCAGGGAAGGGGACACGGTTCCGCTCGGGCCGGGGTAGCCGAGGCTGTGACGGGGCCCGAGGTGCCGGTGCCGAGGCTGAACCGGGCGGGGCGCGGAGCCCTCCCCGGAGCGGCTCCGGGAGCCCCCGGACCCGCGGCGCCGTCTGGCGGACACGGCCGGTATTGCAGGGCCGGTACCGCAGCCCCGGGGCTACCGCACGGCGGGGACCGCCCGCACCCCACGGGGCGTGCAGAGCCCCCCGATCGGTCACCCCTGAGGCCACCACACCCTCCCCCCCGTGAGAACATCGCCCGCCTCCCCCTTCCCTGCCTTGCCATGCTCCTTGGAAAGGAGGAGAGCTGGAGGAGGCAGTGCAGGAAAGGACACCTGGTCACACCGGGTCAGGTTTATGTTCCAGCTTTATTCTCTGTCAGAGAGGCCCTGCTGTTCTCCTGGCTGGCACAGAGCCCAACCCATGCCAGGTGGGGATGGTGTCCCCACGCTGCCTGGCCCCACGGGGCTGGGCCCATGCCCAGGGACAAGGTGGGAGGTGCTGGATGTCCTGGGCACTCTCAGGGCAGTGCAGAGCTGGAGCTTTGAGCACCATGAATGGAAAAGGCCAGCAGTGCCGTGCAGCGAGGCTGCTGCACAAGGGGCAGAGGGGAGTGACAGCCACTCCTCCTCCTCCTCCTCCCAGTGTATAAAAATACCAGTGTGACTTTATTTGGCTTTTCAGCTTTGGGTTATGTTTGTTCTACAGTTTATAAAAAGCTTTTCCCAAAGTGTGTGCTCTGTTACACTTCTGTGCCGTCATGCAAATTGCTGTGGACTTTGACTTCCAGGTTCACCTGCTTCACCTTCCTGCCCTTCCCCTGGCAGACGCTGCCATTTTCCCTCAGAGAATGAACATTCCTCACGGTGCAGCACCGGCTGCCCATGGCCCTCGGGACACCCCTGGGCAGCTCCACCTTGGTGTTCAAGGGGTGCTCCTCGGGGGCGGCCCTGGCAGCCTCCCGCTTCCTGCGCACCTTCCGACACTTCCTGGCGAGGAGGCAAACCCCGGACAGCACCAGCAGCAGCAGGGTGAGGGCGGCGAAGGCGCTCCCCAGGGAAGCGCCCGTTTGGGACAAGGAGGCTGCGACGGCGGCTTCCTCCCTCTCCAAGAGCAGCGACTTCATGTTGGTGCCGTTCTTGACCTGGTCGCCCTCGTTGTCGTAGACCAAGGAATCGTCCAGCACCGTCCTGCTGGCGCCTCGGGCCAGGTCCCTGCGGCTGCGCTGCCAGCGGTGAGCGAGGGACCGCTGGACACGGGGCCCTGCCGTGCTCTCCGGGCCAATCACGTAGATCACCTGAAGGTACCACTGGTGTCCAGCTTCCACCTTTCCAAAGGGGAAGACGAGCACACAGGTCACGTTAACAGTGAGTTTAACATCGAGTGATCAAGAGCTGGCGCATTTTGTGCTCTGTTTCTGACAAAGCAGCTCGGTGGGTTTTTTCTGAGCGCCTGCAGTAATGCTGATCACCAAGTGAGGTGTTCAGCCTTTGCCAGCTGCAATAATTCATTTAGGGTCATGAATAATATGTTTTTAAAGAGCTTTTTCCTGAGTGCTTTAGAGGAGGGGGGAATAAAATCTTAAAATTTTAGATTATATTTAGAATAATAACCTAATCTTCATTTTCTGTGTTAGGGTTGACTTCTGAAGGACCAGAGCCTAAAATTTGCAAAGCGTTTGGGAGATCCTGGACAGAGAAGTTACTTTTGTGCTACGAGAAGCACATACCTTGTAGAGAGCATCCACCTTGAGAGTAAATCCATCAACTCCGGGCATGCTGCTTACCGAGTGGAACTCGGACAGCTCGGAGGCAAAGTGGGCATCAAAAGGCACATCGTGGAAGTACCTGTCTGTCACTTCAGGTTGGTTTCGGTCCTGGAAATCAGAGAGGTGTTATGAAGAGGGGGGGCAGGCTCTCTTGCTTTCCAAAGGGAGGCCAGGGCACTGCACACTCCTCACCCCTTTGCAGTCAGGATCTGTTTGCTGTTGGAGAAGCTCCCAAAGAGGGAGCAGAGGCAGAGGACTCACCAAGAGGAGGAATCGATGTTTCAGGTACTTGTTGGGTTGGATGCAGCCATACTGTGGCCCCTCGTTATAGACGGTGCCCGTGGGGTCGAAGAAAGGCACGTAGCCATCCTTGCCCGTGCACAGGTAGACTTTTTCCAGCTGCAGCTTGTACGCGGCATTGAGGTTTTGTTCCGGGTGCCAGAGCACGCGGCCATACAGGACTTGCCCTGGGGAGGTGGGGAGAAAGATGGACAGGTGAAATTCTCCAACAAGAGAACCACTGCTTAGAGACTAACACGCCGAACCACACGTGGCTCTGGGTTTGGAAAGGTTTGGATAGTTTGGGAAGGGTTTGGGGTGTAAGGGTGACAAAAGCACGTTCTTTTCTTATGGGGCTTTAACATGCTCAAGATGTCTTTTGTTGCTGTAAAACAGGCAAAGCCAAAATAAATCCTACCCTTGGAAAAAGCCCCTTTGTAATCCATTTCTGCCAGGGACATTTCGGATTTGGTGGGGTCCATCAGAAACACCTTCTCGTTGTTACACAGCTGGAACTCTGTGTTTAGGGAGTAGACAACGGGAACTGGGCGGTTTGTCTGCTGGAAGGCGATGGGGATCAAAAATCTGGAATTGGGACAAGGAAGGAAACCATGGAGAGGTGAGGTTTGGACATATGTGCACCCCAAGCACAGCGATCTCCCACCACTCTGAACGCAGACACTCTTGGTTTCAGGGAGGCTCTTAAGCAAAGGAGGAGGTTCCATCCATCCCCTTTTCCCTTCCTGCTGCTGTTGTGCTGTCCCACACACCTGCTGAGACCCCAGAAACATCCCAAATGAGCTGACATTGTCCTGCTGCCATGGGGATGGGGGGCCTCCTTACCGCTCTGGAGCGTGAGCCGTGCAGGGCAGGGGCTTGTCTCCAGGCTCTGCCCATGGCTGTGTGGGCTGCACAGTGCAGGGGATTAAGAAGATGGTGTACTCTCCGGAGTAGTCCTTCCTGGGAACAGACAGAACACCCTGTGGTCACCAAATGGGGCCCTGTGTTCACCCAGAGCAGCACCTCTTCCTGGCCCCAGGAATGTCCACCCAGTAGTTGCCTGAAGGACAAAAGGGACCTGGGGTGTTTAATGTGACCCTCTGAAATACATGGTCAC